AGCAAGAAACTCCATTCGTTACTCTTTTTTTTTTAAAAATGTTTAATAGAATCAACATTATCCTTGCACGTTTTAACCTTTCAATCGTAATTCGATACACAGTAGTAAGACATTGTGTGCGAACGCCGGCGTTCGCTTGGGGTTTGATGAACTAAACCACCACCATGACACCCATAGCAACATCCTCTAAAAGTATTCCAGCCGCTGATACTAATGATAATAGTGATGAACGTTCATTAACAAATCTAGCAAGCAAGCAACTTTATCAATGTTTACCTACTAAAGCAACGCTATTCAAATATGTGGAAGTAAAACTTACGGTTGTACTCACAATCTTACAAAATCTCGTATCTTTGTTTGTAGTGTAATATTTATATTTATAATATTTATAAACATTGTTATTATGCATCGACGTGGAAATTTGGTGACACGTCAAACCTTCCACGTGCCTTCTGTAAATTGTGATCCTTTATTTAATTATTCTTGTGCGATGCTTGGTCTGTCTCCTGTATTCCTTTTAATCTTAATAATACAAGCGGTATGAGTTTTGTCATTATTATCCGATTGTTCCATTTTCAAATGTGGGAGAGCAATGCTTCGGCACAAATGGGTCGGCTCGACTGGAGTGATACCACGGCCTCACAGAAAACCAACGTTGTGTTTAGCCGTGTCAGTGAGGTTACCGGAAGCCATCTCACAGTCCCTAAATCCTCAAATCTCTAATCCCCAAAAAGTCTGCAACGCACTCATAATTCCTCTGTTGTTGCGAAAGTCCATAGGCGGCACTGAAAGCTTACCATCAGATAATCCGCAGGCTCGTTGGCCTTTATATCTCATAAAAAAAGATAAAAATAAGCATAACTCTAGATAATAATTATTACAGTATCGTAGTAACGTAATCCTTAAACCTATGTTTGTGGGCCATCAACATTTAAGTCACTAATATAATATGTAGGTATATCCTTGCCCAACCAAAGAGCTGCTGTTTCCATGTTACAATTAGCACGTGAATAAAGAGATTACTTTTTATTGTCAAAGAGATTTTTTTATCTGTACAAATATAGTTTTAACTAAACGTGAGATATGTTATCATTTATTTTAGTGAAACGTCTTAGCTGTTTACAATGGCATGCAAATATCGACGTGGCCGTCATCTGCGTGGAGAAGATTTGTTTTACAAATATTAGTTTTTTTAAACCTTTATGTAATTATGAATTTTATATTAAAATTATCTCCAGTAAATTACACACATGCTTGTGTATCTTCGTTTATTTTAACTTTAACTAAAACATTTTTACAAAACTTTCCTTGTAGCGGCAATTGAACTTAAGAGGAAAAAAAATATCCTCTAAATCTACTTACTAAATGAAATAATGTCCGTCAACGACTCACGGAACGACTCCTCTCTCCTCTCGATACAAATCAACCTCCATTCTTAATACAATGGAAGTTGCAGTTCAAAAGAAATCACATTCATCACATTATCACACCATCGCACTTTGAGCAGTGGCCTATGCTTAGCCTAGCCCACTGCTCAAAGCTGCCGCAAAGGTCTCTTCTCACTCGGAGAACGTTTGAGCATTGATAATCACGCTCGCTCTAGATTCAAGACGAATTAAAAATAATTTGTCCTTCTTCAGGAATAGGTATAAATTCTAAGTTTCAAATTATAAGTTCATCGCAATGACTTTCTATATCAGTTGTGTCTAAATATACTTACAAAATACAATATAACTTTGAAAAAGTTACAACGGTAGAGAATTATTTAAGGAAACTAAGATAATGACGGTTGCCTCACAATATATTTATGAAAATGTAATTCACGCTCATAAAAACAAAAGCTTATTTAAGAAGCATAGTGATATACATAATATTAACACGAGGGGGAAAAACAAATATGTTGTCCCCACCTCCAGGCCTCAAAAAATAAGTAGTTCGTTTAGATGTCAATGTATACGCTTTTACAATAAAATTCCTAGGGATATTCAAAATTTGAGCCTCAATAATTTTAAAAGTGTAATAAAGGCTAAACTTTACTGTAAAGCATTTTATAAAATAAAAGACTACTTAGAAGATAGTCAGGCTTGGGAATGAGCCGCTGTAACTTCTGCACAGGTCATGTTGACATGTTTGTAACATAAGTTACGCTTTTTATATACAATTTGACATTACGTTAATTTTTTTAACAATGACATTATCACCTATTGTGACATTTTTGTTTTTATTTGACATTTTTTATTTTATTTATTATTTTTATAATTATTTATTGACATTATTTTCTATTATTTTCTATTATTGTTAGTGTAAGGACCGTGTGAGACTTGCCGCGCTTTTGGACTACCAGTTATCTGCGTTCTGACAGTTTGAGTACTTGCGTGACGTGTCCGTTACCCAGGCCAGATGTTGTCGACAATGGTCATTTGAATCTTATAGATAATTAGTTGTGCGGCTTCTGTAAATGTTGCGCACATTTTTAAATTTGTTGCGCTTATAGTTTTTTAATTATTTCACAAAAACATTTCCTGCTGGCGTAACGTTACCACAGCCAGACCTTTTTCTTTCTAATGGGAATATTTAAATAAATATTAGCTATAAAATTAGTTGTCTAGATAAAGTAAATGTTGTGCCTTATTTTGTATTTGTTCTTTCTTCGGTTGCGAAGTTATTCGAGATTTTGCTGCGGTAACGTTTTTGGTTTTGCTAGATCTTTGAAATGGTTAAGCGGATTCTTGTCATATTTTGTACACGACTTCCGAGGACTTAGTTTAAATTTGTTGTGCAATAACAAAACCAAAATAATGCATATTTTAAAGGATTTTTCATTAAATAGAAAAACACTTCAATTGGCCCCAGCACTCCCAATAAGAAGTCTAAAGACTTACTTCAAACGTAATTTTAAAGCTTGTAACTGCCTTCAAATGTATGTGAAGTTTCATTAGTATCCCGTAAGTATTTAACAAGTTATGATGATATTCAGTTCTTCACGAGCACGGTCTTAATGCACGCGGTGTTATTTGGCCACTGGCTTGGATATATGAACTGAATATTATGTCAATGATTAGTTGTTTAGATCAGTTGTATATCAGTAAAATTTCAGCTCAATACATTGGATAATTAATGAGATAATACTATTAAAGTCATTAGGAAGTGAATGGCCGTGGTAAGCCGACCAAGTTTAGGTGGTTACGAAAAAGCGAAAACGCAGAACATTATGGTACCTTCTAAAATATGTAGGATAGTGTTATAAATTTAGTACAGACATGTACAAAAGTTTAAAAAAAACTACATGATTATTCAAGATTTTTTATTGAAAGGTAAAATAATCATTTCAATTCAACTTTTACTCCCTTACTTATTAAAACTTGTGTTGCTTAGCAACCGATTAAACATCACCCGTCCTTGTCATTTCTATTTCAAAATGCAGTTCAAAAATCATCTAAAAGGTTTCAAAAGTAACCTTCTGGCAAGACTGAGTGCGTTAAACAAACAATGTATTACCCCTTCACCCCACTCCTCCTGCGTCCTACCGAACGGCATGCTCTAGCGGTGATTTTTGATAATTTTGTGGAACTGGAAGATAATGTTTTCTTTTATATTATTATTATATAGGTATTAAACAGTGTACGCGTCTGTACCAAAATTGTAAGGTGTATTATACTAAACATTTCAAAAGATAGTACAATGTTCTGCGTTTTCGCTTTTTCGTAACCACCTAAACTTGGTCGGCTTACCACGGTCATTCACTTCCTAATGACTATAATAGTATTATCTCATTAATTATCCAATGTATTGAGCTGAAATTTTACTGATATACAACTGATCTAAACAACTAATCATTGACATAACATTCAGTTCATATATCCAATCCAGTGGCCAAATAACACCGCGTGCATTAAGACCGTGCTCGTGAAGAACTGAATATCATCATAACTTGTTAAATACTTACGGGATACTAATGAAACTTCACATACATTTGAAGGCAGTTACAAGCTTTAAAATTACGTTTGAAGTAAGTCTTTAGACTTCTTATTGGGAGTGCTGGGGCCAATTGAAGTGTTTTTCTATTTAATGAAAAATCCTTTAAAATATGCATTATTTTGGTTTTGTTATTGCACAACAAATTTAAACTAAGTCCTCGGAAGTCGTGTACAAAATATGATAAGAATCCGCTTAACCATTTCAAAGATCTAGCAAAACCAAAAACGTTACCGCAGCAAAATCTCGAATAACTTCGCAACCGAAGAAAGAACAAATACAAAATAAGGCACAACATTTACTTTATCTAGACAACTAATTTTATAGCTAATATTTATTTAAATATTCCCATTAGAAAGAAAAAGGTCTGGCTGTGGTAACGTTACGCCAGCAGGAAATGTTTTTGTGAAATAATTAAAAAACTATAAGCGCAACAAATTTAAAAATGTGCGCAACATTTACAGAAGCCGCACAACTAATTATCTATAAGATTGAAATGACCATTGTCGACAACATCTGGCCTGGGTAACGGACACTTGCGTGACCCAACCAAATGTTCTTTAGATCGGTATTGTTCGTCGGACAACTCAGCAGCACTTGCTATGCTGGTTGCAAACTGACACTTGCGTGCCTGTCTTCAGAACGGGTCCACTTAAACTGGTGTGGTTCTTTCATCAAAAGACCACTACAGAATGAACTTGCACGGTTCTCTCACATTATGTTATTTTTACATTGTCTGGACTTGAAAAGAGACTGATCTCTGAGTTTGTTTCGGCATTTCTTCTCAGAGTAGTCAGATAGGAAATGCCGGCTTCATCTAGTTTTTTACATATAAATTGACGTGTAAAAGTGCCGTTTTATGGCCTATTTGCAAAAATAAATTCATTGTTTCATTGTTTCATTGGTACTTGCCAGGTTTTGATCCCGCCCTAGCATGAGAAGCGGGAGCCTGAAACTTCTGTTTACCATGTCACGTTGAAGTTCACCAGAGAACGCCATATTAACCTAATTTCCTTTGTCTCCAGCGAACATCGCGATTGCGTCAACGGGTTACTCCATGGGATGGACGTCCCCTGTCAACCTGAAACTGCAAGCTAACGACACCACCAACCCTGTGGGCAATCCCATCACTAAGGAGGAAGAAGCATGGATCGGATCCCTGCTCACTGTCGGTGCTATCTTCGGTAAGTCCCATAAAATGCAGGGTATATCAACTGCAATAATGGTCTTAATACCAATTGACATAGCATTGAAATTTCAACATCACACTCCTGGAGTTTATGTGCCTCTTCTACGTATTCAGTGTGGGAAAGCCAAGCTTCGGCACAGATGGGTCGGCTCGACTGGAGTGATAACATGGCGTCATAGAAAACAGGCGTAAAACAACCACAGCGTTGTTTTTCGCCATCGCAGTGGGGTTACCGAAAGCCCAAGCCTTTGCCCCTCCCCCAAATCCCTTCCCTATCCTCAAATATCCAAAACTCTTATCCTTAAAAGGCCGGTACTGCAGTTGTAACTCCTTTGTTGCTGCGGATGTCCATAGGCTGTGCCAATTGCTTACCATCAGATAATCAGTCCGGTCACTTGCCGACTATCCCATAAAAAATTTGGATTTCCATCTAAATCATACTAAATTCTGTTCACAGGCCCATTCCTCGGCGGTTTTGCTGCATCAAAGATCGGTCGCAAATGGGGTCTTCTGAGTACTGCCATCCCTCTGTTCGTTGGTTGGATCCTGATCGCAGCCACCAATAATGTTGGCATGATATACGGTGGCAGGATCTTCTGGGGTCTCGCCGTCGGTATGCTGTTCACAATCTCACCTATGTACTGCGCGGAAATTGCTACGGTAAGGAAATAATCCAATTTTTTTCTGGATCTCGTTTTAAGGTATCGTGGCCTCAGTCTGGAGCAGGATAATTAAAATCCCCTATTTTAATTAAGAATCTGGTAGTCTCTCTCGCCATACCCTTGCGACAGAAGTTATTGATAATTTTCCCAACAAAAAATGCAATAAAGTGCTCTTACATGATAAGAATGGGTTTCAAGACAAAATATCTGGAATAGTAACGGAAACAAAATCTTTAACCTGACATGTATAGATTTTTGCCACTTGACGTACTTTGAGTTTAAGCAATTCTCACTTCAGAACTGCCGTTGTGGTCTCATGAATGTTAAGAATATTTAATAATAAATCTTGCCTTTGTCCTCTCCAGGATGACTCTCGTGGTGCCCTCGGTTCGTTCCTGCAAGCGTTCATCACGCTAGGTTACCTGCTGATCTACGGTATCGGTCCGTACGTGTCCTACATGGTGATCGCCTATGTCGGTATCATCTTCACTGCAGTCTTCGTCGCCGGATTCTTCTTTATGCCTGAGTCTCCCTTCTACTACCTGGCTAAAGGTAAGAGAATTAACTTCTGTTATTAATTCACTAGCCACTCTTACCCAGTCTCACCCGCTGTTCAGCTCCCATTCATAGTGGGTGCATTGTATTTTATAGCCACTCTGGAACATTGTAGTTGTATCTATCAGTGAAATAATTTTGCAAATCTGTCTAGCGGTTCCAAAGATTGCCCCCAACATAAAAACTTGCAAATTACAAGTTTATAGTATTTTGTGTACATGTTTCAAATTCTTTATCCTCAATTATATAGATTTTGAGCCAACTAAATTAAGATTGAAAGTTCACAAAGTTTGGATTGTTTCTGAAAAATCCTTTGCTTACCACAGACAAACAACGTTACAATTAAATAGAGGAGTTTTAGTCATTCTTGATATTAATATCTATTGCTTTACCACGCCAGGTGACAGGGAAGCAGCTGCCAGCTGCCTGGCTAAGATCCGAGGCCGCTCCCATGAGGGCGTTCAGGCCGAACTTGACCTAATGGCTGCTGATGTCAACGCATCTTTGGAAAAAACTGCTACGGTAGGATTTTTCTAACGTTACCTTGCCTTTTTCAAAGTGTTACTGCTAAGTAGAAGATGCCTAAACCATCCGTAATCATTAAGCAAGGATAAAAGTAACCTTGTATTGCAACAATTTCAAATCTTTATATCTAATTGTGGTTTATACTCGGTATGTTGCAAACACAAGCTATAGACTAAATAATAGAATGTTGACAGTTCGGTGTAGCTTCATAGAGCGTTTGTGTTTTTTTTAATATTTTTTTAAACGTTGTACAGCACTAGGGTATCTCCTGTGTTACGGGTACGTTTACAAACATGAAATTGCACATACAAATCACACCCAGACCCGAAACAACAATATTTATATCACACAAGGAGTTGTTCCGTGCGGGAATCGGGACGTGATACTTTGAGTAGCCAGACGCCCAACCATCGCCTACCGTGCAGTCTTACAACCCAATTTACTTTTATGTCTGAATCTATTCCCCATGACAAGATTCTTTTATAAAATAAATATATTTCTATTTCAGGTCGCCGATGTATTCCGTGGCAGTAATTTCAAAGCGTTCTACATTTCGTGCGCTTTAGTATTCTTCCAGCAGTTCAGCGGTATCAACGCCGTCCTCTTCTACATGACCAATATCTTTGAAGCTGCCAACTCAAGCCTCGACTCTGCCATCGCTACCATCATCATTGGTGTCGTTCAGGTATGCAGTTATGTCTACAACTTTTCTTTCTGAAGGTTCTTGGCTGTTCTCCTCTGGAAGATCAAAACAGTTTTAGTTTGAACGAAGAATACTACAACATTCTTAGCTTTTATTTTCAAATCATCTTCATTTTGAATTGGATCAAGGTACAAAGAATGATGGGTGCCTTCCAAACCAGGTTCAATAACGTTTCTCCTATCATAAAGGCAGAATAGACTTATTTCTTCAATTTATTTTTCCATACATTAATAGTAATTTGTACATTTACAGGTGATTGCGTCTTGCATCACACCTCTGGTGGTAGACCGACTGGGCCGTAGGATCCTACTCCTTATCTCCGCTTCCGGAACTGCTATTGGACTGGTAAGTAAATAACTATTTGTCAACTTACGTTTTTACAGTTGAACTTGGAAGTGTGGATGAGCTAAGCTTCGGCACGAATGGGTCGGCTCAACCGAAGTGATACTACGGCCTCACAGAAAACTGGCGTGAAACAACCACAGCTTTATGTAACTCACTTCACTCACACACTCGTAACTCCTTTGATGTTGCAAATGTCCATGGGCGGCGCCGATTGCTTACCTATAAATCGGCCAGCTTGTTCGCCTACCTATTATTCCATAAAAAAGACCACTTACAAATTATTTTGTTATTAAGTTTGAAACTGATATAAAATTTTCTCTTTCTTATTTCCAGGGTCTTTTAGGCATGTTCTTCATCTTATCCGAAAAGGGCAGTCCCGTTGTGAGCAGCATTGGTTTTCTGCCGATCCTCTCCCTCGTACTCTTCATAGTGACTTACTGCTGGGGTCTGGGACCCCTACCTTGGGCTGTCATGTCTGAGCTGTTCCCCATTGAAGTGAAGGCCATTGCCTCGCCCATCGCCACCGCCTTCTGCTGGGTTCTGTCCTTCTTGATCACCAGGTAAGATATGAATTAAGTGATTTTTATATAGAACACTAACTTCGCACGCTTGTGAAAGTAATGTATTTTAAAAAGCAGCAGCATTTAAAAGGATATGTTGACTTCAATACGCAAATTAAGAATAATTTATAGCACTCGGTAAAATTGCACCAGTGCAAGAATTTTGGAAATCAGATCAGTAGTATCCAAGGAATACCCCTACATACAAACTTGCAAATTTTCATCTTCGCGATATAATTCGAATGGATTAATAGTTTGCCTTTTTTCCGAGGTCTGTACAGTTCACGTTTCTGTTGAATTACTTTAACATTTCATCGAATGCTCCGAAATTGATTGGGACATTAGCAAATCCATCGTTAGAAATTTGTCATTTAGTCCTCAAAAATCCATAATTTTTAATGTAAATTCCATTTTTCTCCTTCATAGGTACTTCAGTGCCATTGCCTCAGGCCTCGGTATGGGTGGCACGTTCTTCATCTTTGGCGCGTGTTGTGTGGCCGCCTTCTTCTTCACGCTGTTCCTTGTGCCAGAGACCAAGGGCAAGAGCTTCCAGGAGATCCAGGACATCCTGTCTGGCAAGTGAGTACATATTACCTGTCTTTACTTTATCATCATCATCATCATCATCAACATCAACATTATCATCATCATTATCATTAGATCATCCAGATTCATCGTCCAATGTTGAACTTTACCCTTAGCCAGTTACTTCCAGATTAGCTCGTTGGTTTACTACTTGATTTCATTTCATACATACATTATCAACAGCCTATAAGTGCCCACTGCTGAGCAAAGGCCTTTTCCCACACGGAGAAGGTTTGAGCATTAATCACTACGCTTGCTCAAGGCGGATTGATGATTTCAAACTTTTATAAGTCCTGCTGCCTCTCGAGGTTTTCCTTCACCGTTTGTTCATGGTGTCTAAATCATAGAAAGCACATACAATCATAGTACTTACTTTGTAACTCATAAAAAGTCACATTAGTACTTGCCAGGTTTCGAACCCTCATAAAATTGATTTCATTTAAGATAATATGAGGTATTTTAGAAAGTAGAGCTTTAAGTCTCTAGTCTTCTCAGTACACTTCTGGAATATGTATCTTCAACATAGGAGGCAGAATTAGCTATAAACGCCACGATTGGAGATAACGATCTCTTAATCACCTCTTTTAAAACCCCCAGGACGAAGTTGGTTAGGTTGGTGACGAATATATTATGTTTATGTAGACTGCCACTTTATGGGCCTGTTATAATAATATACTAATTTACCATTTTCTTTGTCCACAGACCATCCAAGCTGGAGAAGGCATAAAGTGATAGCTTAAAGTGAATATTTTGTTTTATGTTATTATAAATAATCGCTAGCTGTTAGTATTACTGCATCGGGTCACCCCACGCATAGGCCGTGACAATTGGAATACTAGAGGATAAAAGAATACTAAATGAACAAAACGATTTTTTAAATCGATTTTACAACATTCTATCCCGAATCCGATAATCGATTTAAAAACATTCGGTTCCGAAAATCGATTCCAATAACCGATTTTACAAGATTCGGTTTCGAAAATTCATTTTACAAAAAAATCTAAGGAGAAATTCCTAGTTCCCAATTGATACGGTTGAAACTTGTTTATTGGAGATCAAAAATCGTCCTCGTAATTTATTCCAGTGAAATTATATTTTTATACATACGTACCTAGGTAATATATTGTTTGGTCTCCAACTTACAAGATTTTTTTTTCAGTTTAATGCTAAGCCAAGTTTCTGGTCTTTGAAAATGGGAGGGGCAGAAACTTTGCCACGCCTTAGACTTGATTTTCAACGAAACAAAACATTTGGACCAATTTTTGTAATATGTATTTTAATGAGAATAGTAATTTATAACCGTTTATCCCTTTAAGAATATTTTAATGTTCCTTAGTGTTGATCGGTATATAATGATCAGAGACATCCGTCATTTTTAGCGATACATGAGAATGGTAACACTGGAAAACGAAATGACAAAAAATCAATGATCGAATTTTTATCTGACAGAAAAAGACCAGCATGCAATTTATAATATGGTTTTTAAAAGATTGTGTTTTAATATTAACGTCCATTTTAACCTGCAAATCGAAAATGACATTGACAGACAACACAGTGTTTCCAATTTTAAAAAACGCCTGTATGCTGCATAAATCAGTGTTGCCATTATCGCGAATAAGATACTGTAAGTTATACAATCACATTGTAAGTACAAACTAGTGAAAGCAGGGAGCGGACGGACGCAACTATTTGTGATAGTAGCTAATTATTTCTATTGTACATACCTATTTAATTATTTTTTATGTCTAAACATTATTTTGTTACGAATAAATTGTTTTTTATTGTGTTATTTTTGTGTTTTATTTATTTACGGACCGAAAGATATGTTCTTTTAACAACCAACAACTTTTACCTGTCAGTACCCTGAGGTTCTTTAGTTCCATGAGGGTTACATAGGTATTCCCATACATCCCATTCCCCCCGCACGCGCCTCAAAGAGTCCGCCGTCATAGTGTTCCGCGCGCGCCTCGAAGAGCCAATATACCACCACAGACGGGGCCCTACAGGGCTGATGTTCAGCCGGGGTTGCGGGGTAAGCGCAACGCGACTTCGGAGGAGGAAAACTTTTGGTCAATAGTCTGAAACTCCCTTGCGTCATACACGCCATAGGCGAGAAACAATTTGATGATTTTACCTCTTAAAAAAAAAGTGATTGGCAAATAAATGAAATTCTCATAAAGGGCAGCTGCATGCCGATTAAAACCTGCATTACAATAAAACGGGGTGAATAAAATTAGAGGGGTGAATAGACACGAGGAAAAATTTCCAACATCTAGGTATTCATTTAAAGTTTTATTCACCTCATTTTACGGTACTATATTATTAGTTTACTATTTTAAACACAGAATAAAAAATTAAGTATTTTGTTTATTTAATTCTGTATCTTCTATTCCGTGATTATAAAGCCAAGGAGTTTATCTCTTTATTTATTTGAATGACGGGACTTACTTTTTTCGTGTTTTTGTAGTAAGGAGTAGTAAATTTATAGAAAAAATTCTGAGCTGTCACTAGGACAAGGAACGGATGAAACTGTAACTTAATAACAATGGAGCCTGCGCGTGCCTAAAGAAAAACAGCAATAACTAATTTTTATAACGGTGCGACGCCTTTAGTTAACAAATATGCTACCTTTTATATACCGAGCTAACACAATTTTTGCCTTCTATTTCTTAAAAGGATACGAGAAGTTGGATGCTCTGACAAGAGAGAAAATAATAAATAAAACACTGACCTATTGATTTATTGAAAATAACGATTTACTTACGTGAATCAACTGAGACAAGCTCGACGACCGACAGCATGACGTCGCCGCCACGTGCACGCTGCTCATCAATAAGAGTCCCGGTGTTACTTGAAACTAGTAGAGCTATTCTAAATTAAATCACGCGTGTAAGTCGTGTTTAATGAATTTAGTATGTCTCACGAATTGATGATACTCGCTGACCTAATCATATTTTCCAATTAAAAAACTCTTCTTAAAATAACCACCACTCAACAGTCCACTTCGTCCACCCAAAAAACAAATTTGACTGGTGATCTCATTACACTGTTTTTCAAATGATAACTATCCAATAATTTCTCCCGCCTTTAAACGGGTTAAAAGAGAGAGTCTCAGATTCTTACTGACTAAAAATCACCTCGTTCCTTCTTCCACATTCGAGCCGAGGTGCGGTCCATAATTTTGCAATAGTACCCTGCAACCCCGGCTCATAGCTTAGGCCCTCTTCATCAAATGAGTTCAAAGCAAACCTCTTTCCTTCTTCTGCTCCAACATGCATTAGGTCTTAATAGCCCCATTGTAACAGAGTGTTATACAAATTGGTGATCACGAAATTTATATTGACTGAGATCGTGAAGAGCTGATGAATACAAATGTCTTTGCCAGCATTGGATGTCTTACATCTGGTGATGATGATAAAGCAATAAGTTGAAGAAAGAAGTTGAAGAAGAAAGAGAAAGAAAAAATATTTATTTGCACCGTAAAAAATTACAAACAAGAAAATTAGCTTAGCAACTTATATGGAAAGTAGGTATGCACGGCGCAAAATGGCCAAGTCTCTCTAAAATGTCGTGACCCGAGAGCAATATCTTGAGTCGCGGCACTGATTTTCAGCACTAGTCCGTCACTACAATAATAATATTAGATATAACTATAATATGAAAATACATAATTGTTATACAACATTAATTTATGCGAAATAGCATGACTTTTTTCATCTAGGGTAAACAATGAAATAATGGATTAGGCCACAAAACAGCGCTTGTACACGTCAAAATTATATGTAAAAAAAACTAGATGAAGCCGGCAGTAAAGTTTTTCTTTGAGGGGGAAAGTTATCAAATGACTTCTTCCGCCCACCCAGGGTCGGGTGTACCTATTCAAACTAGCAATACAACTTTTTATATATAACCTCGTTTATGATTAAAGTTTTTTTTTTAAATATAATCGTCAAATTACGTTGTCTACTATTAAACTAAAACGTGTCAGACTCTTACTGACTAAAACCCCCTCGTTCCGTCTCCTGCTTTGGGCCGAGGCTGCGGTGCCTTACCCCGCAACCCCGGCTGAACATCAGTCCTATAGGGCCCCATCTGTTGTGGTCTGTTGGATCTTCGAGGCGCGCGCGGAACACTATGACGGCGCTTAGCGATCGGATCGGGTCGGGTGGCGAGTTACCCTTACGTTGGTTGGAGATTATTTTTCGATACCCGCTGCCCTTGATTAAGAGCTTGAAACTTTCTTGGAGCCCCAAAATTGTAGCAATCACTTTTACACATAATTCCGTGTAATAATAGCATGAACTTAGCTCACTAGCGCAGGGGCGACACACGGATGCAATACTGATACTAAATTACTCCAATATTTATTGAATATTATTACTTATAGATATAAACCTTCCTATTCAATCACTCTCTACTGAAAAAACAGCATTAAAACCAATGACGTATTATATATAGACACGTCATGAACCAACATCGCGGCGCTTAAAAACGGCGAAAATACAAGATAACTACTTCTACGACTAAAGAAAGGGAAAGCAAATATGACATCGTATAGTGGAATGCCTTTGCTAGAGGGAGATAAATATACATCTTCAGTTATGCCGACGGCACGTGACTATACCTTCATGCGCCGGCCGCCACAAGATGGCGGGCACCGGCGTCGAAAAAAATAAAATAAAAATAGGTTGTTTGGTGAACTTACGCATGAAATGACACATTTTTGTATTTAACTTTTAGAGTATAATTTGTACATCCTCTGAACACACACGACGGCATGCTTTCTTTAGTTTCGCACAGGTTTACACACACGATATAAATTATAACAAACGTAGCGTCGCGCGGGAGGTTGGTGCGTGACTAAGCGCGATGTTGTCAAATTGCCTTCATTTCATGTTGCCATTTTAGAGCGCGGACAACGTATCTATAGATTTATACATCATTGATTAAAACTCATTAAAGTATTTTTAAGCATACTTACATACACAGGGTTATAGTGACAGAGAAAGCGACTTTGTTTTGTACCCACTATGTACAGTTAGGGGTCAAAAATACCTTTACACTCTACCAATTTTAAAATGACTAAAATTTCTTTGTAGTAAAAGTTCAATGGTTCACAGCCAGTTTATTCAATAATTTAGATTCTATGCTATAAATTAAAGCAGTCCTCAATCATTGACTCTATTCTACAAAGATATTTTGGTCATTTTAAAATCTCACCGGGAGGCTGCGTGTCATTACTGACATTTGCAAAGTGCAAAATCTCTCTTTGTTGACCTACTTACTTTTCCTGACCAAGGAATCGAACCAGAGTACTCTTACTCAGAAGATTAAGTTCATCACTACATAGTTTAAAACAAAGTCGCTTTCTCTGTCCCTATATTCCTATGTATGCTTAAAACTTTAAAACTATATAAAAATTAATTACCACATCATTATCTTTTTTTATGTAATAGGTCGGCTAACGAGCAGACGGATTACCTGATGGTAAGTAATCAGCGCCGCCCATGGACACCCGCAACGTAGTAATTACGAGTGCGTTGCCGACCTTTTAGGGATCAGGGTTTAAGAGATTTAGGGATTGGGAGGGATCGGGTGAGGGGAAGGATTAGGCCTCCGGTAACCTCACTCACACGGCGAAACACAACGCTATGGTTGTTTCACGTCGGTATTCTGTGAGGCCGTCTTATCACTCCGGTCGAGCCAACCCATTCGTGCCGAAGCTTGGCTCTCCCACATTTCTTTCTTCTTTCTTTCTTTACTTTCTATTCTTAAGAACTTTCGCTTTTTTCGGTAGAAAATGAGATAGATAGATATCTACATACTCACATTTTATAACATCAATTAGGAAATAGTGAATCTGAGATAAAAAAAACTACTGCAGCTGTGGCCTAACTAATCCGGCACTTATCTTTTTTAATTATAGCAACACTGATTGCTTGTTTAATTATATTTTGTGTGTTTACATAGAGATTAGGTATGATTGTTACTTCATATCTTAATTACTAGCGCAATATCGACGTGGAGGATTTGACGTGGCTCCCCGGTGGCAAAAGAATCAACCTCCAGTACATACATATATATACATAAGAGGACTGCTTTACATAAGAGGGGTTTGCTCCCTTAGGCACCGCTGGTGGATATTGCTATACTTGTTATATAAATCTATGCTATGTATCTGAGGATCCACAGCTTCGCACGCGTATAAAGGAAGGGTAGCTTGGGTACGGTTGTGACGGAGTACGGTCGTAACAAGTCGAATATTTTTGAAACTACTCACAGTAGGTGAGGGCTATATGGGATGAAACGTGCCCGCGACCTGTCCCTACACGTAAGCAGGTGATGCGTCATCTTTACTAAAAGTCTTTAAATGTTACTTGAAGCTGTAATGGCTGTGCTGTGGGCAATTACTTATTATAAAAATGTTAAACCGTACCCAGTCTACCCTACGTAATGTATTCTGGAATTTTAATCACCAGCGTTTAAAGCGATAGCTCGACTTAAATACGCAAATGACTATAATTTTAAGCCTATAGCACTCAGAAAAATTAGCAATAGCTACCTATCTACCAGTGAAAGAATTTTGGAAATCCGACCAGCGCTTCCAAATATTACCGCGTTAGGGGATAGTCTTTGGAACCGCTGGTGCAGGTATGATACAAACTAACAAATTTTAGAACTTTATAATATTTTATCTCTCTTTTTAAACCTCTTTTTAAGAGGTAACACTCTTTATAAAATATTAGTATAGATTTCTGACAAATTGGTCATCCACTTCCCTATATTTAC